GCAGCCGAGTACCTTAGCCACTAGGCCACCCCGGCGGGGCAAAACAGCTGACGCCAGCGGCGTTGGTGGGTTTGTCTTGCTCTGCTAGACCGTGACAAGCTTGGTCACCTCTTCCATGCAAGTGGAACGTGAAGTTGGCACAGAAGGGTTAAGCTCCTGTTGTTTGAAACATTCAGTTACATGCACTTCAACATGACAATTGAGGAGGATCTAGCCGCCTATTTTCGAAATTCCTTGACTAGTGCTTCTTTTAGTCCACGGTGACTGATTCAGTGGCAAATGCCACAAAAGGAGCCCGAGAGCGATCGGCGTGGTTAAAGCCCTATCGGTGGATCTGACCACGGCCGAATAAGATTCCGCCCACTGTCAGCGGCCAGAATGCTCACGATGAACGCGCCGGGTGCTCACTCGGGAGTTTAAAGCAAGCAAACAACTTGGGCTGATAAAGGGGTTGGAAGAGATTTTAAATGAAGAGAAGAAAAAGTGAGCCCCGTTACTGTCTTTATAGGGGAGGACCCATCAACAGTAGCTCACGAGGAATGGGAGTAGAGAAGTGAATAAAAAGACATGAATAAAAGGTAAAGAGATAGAGACGAAAAAGAGAGTGAGGTGGAGGGACAGCGAATGACGGAAGTGAAGAGAAGACGGGAAAGATGGACACGGTCGCAGGAGTCCGAGGACGGGCACCACTGACGAGAGCTCTTGTCGGTGTCAGAAGATGGCGTAGGGCAAGTCCAGTAGGCCAGAGTTACGCTGTCGTTGAAGATCGGCGTCAGTAGTTGGCGTTGCGCCAGCCCAGTCATCCAAAGTTACGCTGATGTCGGAGATCGCGAGGGCACAACCAGTCGGCACAAAATACAGCGAGCAAGTCAGCTGATAAAGCCAAACACATGCCTCCTTAGGTAACGAAGGGTTCACCGTCCGAGAACTGTAATTTTAGAATTGCGCACTTACCGTAACCCAGCCAACACTGAAGCATCCGCTTTCTACAGCGGTCCGACTTCCCCTGCCGCTGAAACACAGTGCCGTTTCCACTGAACCCGCTGCACGCCACCGAATATAGAGCGAGAGAAATTGTGCGATTTGGCATTAGATGTGGCGCGCGACACTGGAAGCCGAGTACGACCATTCACGACACATGGGGTGAACAGCCATCACCGCTCAAGCTCCGCCCACATACAGCCCCTGAGCTTGCACGCTCGGAAGTAATCGAATCTGCTTTATTAAGCGGAAAATGAAGAAGCTCATGCAGTCTTGCTTTGTTGTCTAATAACATCGCCAACAAAGCTACGACTTCGCAAGCAATAAGCGTTGACACTGTCCGCATTCATTATCAACTTCGAGCGTCGGCCTAGCACGGTCGACGTTCTCAGTAGCACCGCTTGCCAACGTGAGCTCATTGTCGAGCGCTTGATTTTACCAACACGGTAAAAACTCCTGCGTTTATATGACGCTTTCACACTTGCAACTAGTTTATTCAACGGCCTCAATCTAAAGAGCAAAAGTGGGAACAAAACGGGCAGTTTGCTAAGACTGCTGGTACCACTGTTTTTTTACCTGCGGCTTCCATTCCGGCTCGACATTTCGTTGTTCGTCCGGAAATGGGCGTTGCCTTGCAGAAATAGTACACTACAAGCCTCACTTTAGTCAATCACGAATTATTCCACGTCAGAAATAGTTTATTCAATGTTTTTGATCTCACAAGCAACGGCGGTATTCAAAAATCAAAGCATATCCACGGAGTGAATGATGACTGTTGGGGCGAAGCATTCGTCAGTCCATCCGTGCTTCCGTCCGTCCATGCGTCTGCCCGTGTACCAATTCATCCGGGGGAACATCGGTGCGTCCGTCCGTCCACGCGTCCGCCTGTACGTCCATTCTTCCATCTGTCTGTTCGTTTGTCTGTCTGTCCATTCGTGCGTCTGTTCATGCGGCTGTCCCTCTGTCTGTCCATCCATCCGTCCGTACATGCGTCCACCCTTCTGTCTGTTCGTTCATATGTACGTCCGTTCATTCTTCCATCCGTCTACTCAGTGAACACTCCAAGTACAGCCATCTCACATCTTTTCATCATGTATTCACCATACACAAGTGCCGCCATATGGAGGAAATTCTAAGGACCGCTTTTTCAGGTATGTGCCACCGGTGGTTACGCACTACAAAAAGGGACGCACAAGCCACGCTATAAGGGGCTTCACCCCTAAAATACAAGGGTGATCAGTGCTATCAGTGCGGTGAGGCAAAAACTTGCGACGGCGCCCACCTGTGGCACCCCTTGTGGTACTCTCGCACTGCCATTGGCTCCGCCCACCAAACCAGCGTGTTGCCGTGCGGCTACATTCAGTAAGTTGAATGAAAGTGCGGCGTACGAATCATCGCCGCAGTTCTCCACTTTAAAGTTCAGTGTAGTGATGTAGCTCTAAGAAAAAAGCACTTTTATTGCCCGACTGTAGCTGCTTTTACTACATCCTGTGATGCTCAATGGTAGGGATGCCCTTTTTATTTCCTGATCACTGTTCCTGTTTTCACAAGATGTACATAGTTTTCGCTCCATAAACCAAGGGAATTCGTAGCTCGAACTTTTTGGAGAAAACTGCTGTGGCGGCTTTCACCACCAACCTTGTTATTTATTTCAGCTCTACACGTTTCATGTCATCACCTTTATTTCAACACTTTTGAATTTCAATCCACCTTAGGACGTGGAATTTAAGGCCTCTTTACAGCCGTGTAACATCACCATCGTTCACATCCTGTTCATATAATTTCAATGACAACCATTGCTCTTCGTTTATAAATGCTTATAGCGCTCTTTGGCAAAAAATGTCCCTTGTGCCATAAAAACCCACACATCACCACTAGCATCCTTTTTTTTCTTTCTCTTTTTCTCTATATTTTAGTTGTTGAAGTTGCACACTATGCTCTCAAGTTCCGAGTATTCATTTGTGTGTGTGTGTGTGTGTGTGTGTGTTATGTGCATGTTCATCTATCACTTCATATTTCTAGATAAAATGCTTTGTATCGCTAGTGATATTTCTGTTTCTTTCTCACTTTGATTACATTTCGTTGCTGTTTATATATCTCAGTTATTCACTATATTATGTCCTTTAAAAATTACATCACAGTAAGTTTTTTTTGTTCTTTTATTTGTGCAGCAGAGTTTGTTGCGAATGCTCCAAAGTACACTTTGCAGATTACGTAGCTAGTTAAGCTAATTGGCAGCTTTAAATCCCACCCTCACTTATCGTCTTGGTAAAAAGTAAAAGATCAGCTATAAGTATCGTATTTCTGTAAACAAATGATTGGCCTAATTTCCTTGTTCGAGACTTGATCTTGATTAGGTTGCAGCCTATGTTAACCTCAGCCAAATTAGATAGTTAACCGAATTAGAATTATAGGTAGACTCAGTCTTTACTAGTATTACGCTAAGCTCCGGGAATCTTACCTTGTGCGCCTTCACCAGGTATACAAGAATCTCAGCTTAGCTGAAATAGGGGTTATTACAGTGCAAGTTGATCAGCTTACTTATGCGTAGCTAATTAGGGTTTTCAGGGCTCAGCATGACTTCATAAGGATTGACTATTGCTACATTCGTTTAGGTGGCCGCATCCGTTGTCTTCATTTCGAGAGGCCTGCTCTTTTTGCATGCGGTGGCACTAATCAGCCATTTATTCTGGCCCGCTTCTGACACTGCTAAGCGACTGACTTGTGCCCGATTGGGAGTCGGTAGGCACCACCCCAACCAAGGTCTTAGGACGAAGACTGTCGTCACCCCTATCGTGTGACCTATACGAAGAGGCAACGACAACCTGGGTCTCTGCGGCGCAGTGACAACGAACGCATCTTTCTAACAACTTTTCACTACTTATCAGGTTTGCTTTAGGTCGCTGCCGCGCCAGCACATTGATGGCCTTTTCTCTGCGTTGGAAGCTGGACTAACAATGGGCATATCTGCGATGGTACAAAAACGAAAAAAAAGACTACGTTTCGCTGCAACTTCAAAATTTCTGGTTCAGTCGGGCAGCGTTCCTCTTTCTGGTGCATAGAACGAATCGTTGCCGTAGAATCATGGATTGGCTAGTCTCTTTAGTGTTAAAACTCCTCTGTCTTATTTTTTTCGCCGTTGACGACGAACGGCGGCAAACCAAGCCAAGTATTGAATTTTGTTTTTTTTTATTTTTCCGCGACAAATTTTCTGCCAACGCGCGAGATTCAAAACATAAATGTCATGCGGCACGTGGCAAAAGACAGGCAAACTGTAAGACGATGTCCGTGAAAGCTGGGTCTGTGCACTCTTGTTTTCAACCACATCACTCTAAAATGACACGTGGCCCCGAGGTTACGAAGTCGTACAAATGGAATGTCGGTTATTAAAAACTGGCGTTCCTTTACGCTTGTCAAATACTGCGACATACTTTCAGTTGAGGCCTTCAAATATGTCATTTTATCTTTTTCGCTCTTTTCTCGAGGGTGGTCATAGCAACAAACTGAAGAGAGAATTACTTTCACACACTCTCTGATGCTACATAAGCATTAGGAACATTACATTAAAATGCTGCTACCTTGAAAGAGTAGAGTAATTGTGAGATATCACTATCACAGTTGACACCTCGCACCTTCAAAACACAGAACTGATTTTCCATTCATTCATTTAACCTTAAGTGGGCTGGCACAGTTCTAACACACGTGGCACAATACGCAAAAAGGAATGGCAACAGAAAAGCAGCCATAAAGCTTCGCTGGAATCCCATCTCGCTGCTATTGCCAACCCTACCTATCACGAAGGCTAACATTGCTATTGTAGGGAATTAACTATGACTTACTTCAATAAACTAATTATGAACTAAACAACATATAATGGTTCTTATAAATCAACTCATACATCAAAGGGAACAATGAATGCTGTTGAAGAGGCTCAAAATACTCACCTTGTTATTCTCGTTGCGGCTGTGTCAAATCAGATCCGTCGCATTCTAGTACGCTAAATTTGAATATAAATACGTGCATCACCTTTGTTATTCTGCCCACCAAGCTAGCATCATGATAGGCGCGCCCCACGTGAAAGTTTTTGTCGTACTTCTAGCACTAGCGACAAGAGCAACCTGTGAAACTGAAGGCATCTTCGAGGTAAGGTTTCTTGAAGTAGTGATATAATGTTAAACGTGTCTTCTTCTTACTTTTGAGCAGATCACTTTCAAGAGCCCAATTATTTTGTACCCGATAAGACGACGATCGGTCCCAAAGGTCTCGATTGTACCTTTTTCTTGTGCAACCATATCGTATTTTCTGCCTGCAAGTTGTTTTTTTTTCTTACTACAGCACACCTTCTCGTGGTATAGTGGCCTCGGTAGCGTTTGCTATTTCTTGTTATCAGCAACATCGCTCCAAGAGATAATCTGTTTTCGGCCCTATGCGTTAAAGGACCAGTAAGGACCCACTATTTTTTTGATGATGGGCTTGTTGTGCCTGGTCTCTGACCCACTCAGCAATATTTCTTTTTGCACGCTGTGTTGTGCTTATCCTTTTCCACAGTTCGTTTTTTTGTTCTCGAAATTCTGGCCCATTGATTAGCACTGCAAAGATCTAATATTCCCACACTGTCAATTTACACTGGGGGGTCTGCATTTACCATTAGGTTATTTGAGAACGCCTATCGTATAGGCTTCAGCTCAACTGTATTATTTAGCGAACATTCTCTACGAGTAGTCTTCACTGGAAGTAAATGGTTGTCATGTGCGTACCCTCGAACAGATAGTGACAGGACGAAATTGGCCAACTCTCGCTTTCTCGAAGAGATATTAAGCGTATATTTGCGTTTTCTAATTTTTGTCTTCCACTTTTCTTTAAGAGTTTGACAGTAAAAAAGAGTTTCTACTGCTTGGAAAAAAATTCTGATTGTGGTGAAAATAAAAAGATCGTTCTTCATATTGGTGGCAACGAGCATAGTTTTGTCCTACCAAAAAGATTGTATATTGGGAATCGTTAAAGAATGACCGCTTGTGTCAGCCCACATGTCGTTTAGACGACCGACAGGACAAGAAGTTCTGGCACGTACACTAGTTTTGCTTCTGAACTAAAATCTAAACCTGAAATTGTATAATATACACTTTCGCCACCTTCCAGTTGCGCCATAAAGTAATTTTTTGTTGTGTTTTTTTCGCGCGTTTAAAAAGGCGTTCAGTGGTACTGATGTCCGCGCATTAGCCCGCTTGTCTGCGAGCAGCAAAAAGGCAAGCACTGCGTCCGGTGCAGCTCATATGAAAAATCATCTGCGGTAAAAGGCAGTGTGGCGGACTTTAGGAAATTTTCGAACCATTCCCGTGAATCCAACCGAGAACAGCAACGCTGCGCGACTCCTCAAACGAAATGTGTTCCTCAGCATTCATCAATATTACAATAAATAAGGTTCACACACCCCTTTCCGCTTCACCGAGGCGTCTATGATGGTTCTCATAGCGCGTATGCAACATGGAACACCTCATTATATCTGAGAGACAGCAGGGACCTTGTAATCTTCTGTAAAAAGCTTCTCATGGTCGTTTTAGTAGCATGCTTATCATAAATAGAACTGCTTCAGTTCTCGTAACGTCGGTGTAGAGATCTTGCTGCAACCAAGTATACCTTTGCCACTATACTATAGTTGTTTTCAAGTCTGAGTAACCAAAACGAGGGAAACTGCTGTAATATACTGTATTTAACAATATCAGTACTCTGCACGGTGACTGCAGTATTTGTTTTCATAGTGAACAAAACTTCAGGAAACATGCAAAAAGAGCACGTGGTTGAACTTTTCGACCGGCACAACAATTGTCATCGCGTCCACCGATGTGTGTTGGGGGCGTCTTCACACAAATGAAACAGCCAATGCAGATCTGTATTTGCATAAAAAAACATTGCAAGGACAAGATATCAAACAGCACACTTAGTATTACGACACAAAACTACAATACGAAAACCAGTGAAGATAGACAGAGTGGGCCTTTAAGGTCCTTGTATTAGTTACTGTTGCGTGTTAACGTCCCAAAACCAACCTATGATTAGGAGGGATGCCGTAGTGGAGGGCTCTGGAGATTTGGACTATACCTGGGGTTCTTTAAAGTCCACCTGATTCTAAGTGCATGGGCTTCAAGCAATTACGCTTCCATGTAAAATGACATCGCTATGACTGGGACTTGATCCGGTGACCCGCGGGTCAGCAGCCGAGTGTCTTAGTCACTACACAATCTTGATGTGTGAGGCCGTTCTGTTACACTTGCAGCTTTTAAACACGAATGCATTTCTAATGGTTGGTTCACCTCGGCGATTAACAGCAGTCGCGGGACCTTTTGCTACTGGTCGCAAACAGTCGCGAACTGTCGTACACCATCGCAAAGCGACTGCTTTGACTAATTCCTTCCTAACCAATTTTTCAGTCGCGTGACTGCATTTGCGAAACCACTGGAACCAATCAGCGATGCCGAGATGAAACACACGCATTTCGTTATATGCAGGCTCATTTTAAATGTGAAAATTGCTTAGTGAACTTCGACGACATTGAGCGTATCTATCTATCTATCTATCTATCTATCTATCTATCTATCTATCTATCTATCTATCTATCTATCTATCTATCTATCTATCTATCTATCTATCTATCTATCTATCTATCTAGCCACCTACGACTTGCAGCTCTCGTGGCCATTTCGATAACGGTATTGATGCCAAACTTTGTATGGCATACCATGACTATATGAAAAAAATATTTGACTAGTCAAGTTAAAATCATGGCATGTATGTAATAAATGTCAAGATATACATTTGATGGTTCTGCAGCTCTTGCGGTGGTTTCGTTCACATGGCATGGTGCATAACTGGTATGGTATCGCATGAATGCATGGCGAAGAAAAGTGACAGACCCTAACATGAAAATCATGACATGCGTGTCATGTAGCAACATGACTACACGCCACGTTTCTGATGCACTCTCGGCCGTTTCGCTAGCTTCACATATGCCAAATTTTTGTTTACGTGACGTCAATGGATGACGAAGGTATGTGACTGGTGCAAACATGATAATAATAAGATGCGTTTCATGTTAAACATCCCTACATGCCACAGTCAAGGCACCAATACATTTCGGCGTGACCCAGTGCATGTGCACACCGGCGTTCTTTTCGTCGCGTCACGCAAGCGTTGCCTCGCCAGACGCAGGTCCTGCCACATACTGACAGGTGCGCGCCGCGCTGCGTTGCTTTGACGCATGAGCGTTTTAGCGCGCTTCGTTGAATTGACGCACGCGCGTGTTGTGTCGCTTCGTCACAAAAATAGGCAGACGCAGTGCTGTGTAGATAACGCATCAGGGCGAAATGTAGCATGTCACATATCGCGCCGGTTGCCGTCAGGCCACGTCGATGGAACGCTGGTCGCATCGCTCACGCTTGGCGTCAGGTTATAGAGTGTTCGAATTTTGCTAACATATCACCTCTGTGTCCAGCGTGCACGCGCGACAGCGCTACAATGGAGTATAATGGAGGTGCTCGCGACCGTTTCGCTAGCTTCACATATACTATGTTTGGTGTCACGTGACGTCAATGACGAAGGTAAACTACACATGCAAATATAGTAATTATGACACGGAAGGATTGTACGGCATAATTTGCCTTCACCTCGTAACGTTGTGCTGATTTTAAAGTGACATATATCAACCTTTCTAATTCGTGCTTCGCATATCGCCGATTCTTACCCCCGTATTCACAAACGCTCCTTAACTCAAAAACTCTCCTCGACTTGAAAAAAGCCGATGGGAGCTCCGTCTCTTGGCAGACCAAGTCACTGCATATCAGCAATATTCTGAAGCGATTCTTGAGAAGTGCAGCGTCAATTTCAGTCGAGCACCGACGCAGTGCTTAACTCAGTCAAGTAAAGGATGGAATTCAAATCGAGGGGCGTTTCCGAATACGGGGGTTACTGTACGTGTTGTTCTATCGTGGCCAAGGAAAGACACGGACGCCGGGACCAGACAGGAACGAATGCTCTTTTATTGAAGGAAGGCTCTGCTTTTAAAGCGCTTTATCGTGACGACGGTCTTAGGCCACGGTTTGTTTGATAACCGATATCACACGTGTGATCTGGCAATTTTTTATTTCAGTTTTTTCATTGCTCTGGTCTCCTGTCGCCAGATACAAACGAGTGCGATTCTTTTGGTCTGTGGCACCACGGCCACTACGGAGTACTTGCCTTAGAGATCGTGGGGCGCAGCTGCATAGCCAAGTGTTGAATTTACGTATAAAGAAAAAAAAACGATTGTACACTAAGGGGGAACCCTTAGTCAGAATCCATTTTGTCTTGAACTTGACTTGCCACCGCCTTCAATGCAGCCTACTACTCTGCAATCGAGAAGTGGAAAACCAATTTACATCTGTGAATAGGTTAAGGTTCTAGGTGTCACAATCATATTGTACAAAAAAACCAATACCGATGTACTCAGACGTCGTGAGAAGAGCGCCCACAGCTCCAGTAGGGTCATCTGCAGAGTTTCCAACAACAGAGAGCGGCTAAAGGAGGATAATTTCATGAAAGCCTTCCATGCGTTCCTCCTCAGCCACATTATTTACGGCGCGCCTTTACTAAAACTGACGAAGAAGGAACTTAATAAGAGTGACGACTCTCTCAGTATGGCGCTAAAGCGGGTCCTAAATCTTCCGAAATGCAGCTCTTACAGCTCGGACTGCATAACACAGCAACGGAGCTCTTTGAAGCTCAACGAGCAGCTCATTTATGGTAATTGTCACTTACCAAAGAAGTCACCACGATCCTCCCAGAAGCCGGCCCACAACCCCTCTTTATGCCACCAGAAAAACAGAGTATATCTGCTGATATAAGAGAGCTTTATGCGTTGACCTGGTCCTCAGTGCCATCCATCTGGTGCACAACGAAGGACACCGGGGAGCAAGAGCCGAGACCATCATGAGGACGGTCTTCGGGCGCTTAAACTCAGCTGCCCTCTTTATCGATGCAGCCCAATACTGGAAGAATGATGCGTATGTCGTTACTGTTGGTAATGAGAAAGGATGCCTTGCCAACGTTGCCACGGTGGTCACCAGATTCACTCATGAAGCTGAGGAACTTGCAATCACAGTCGCTCTTCA